AACAAAAGCAACAATTCTTATAGATACATGAAGTGTCCGAACAATATGGGAGACCGGAAAGACAAGTCAAATAGATGCAGAAATGAGAACATACAGCTTGACGGTTCTCGGAATCCGTGAAACTCATTGTATCCTAGCTGAACAGCAAAGGTCGGGTACAGGAGAGATGTTGCTGTACTCCGATCACGCAGAAGAAAATGTTCCACACATTAAAGGAGTTGCTCTGATGCTGTCCGAAGAAGCACCAAGTGTACTTATACGATAGGAATCTCACGGATTCAATATCATAAAAGCTTCAGATCACCATCTATCTGGTGATTGCCAAGATGAAACTTAAGCTAACGAAGCAATGGACAACTGGACAAACAGCATTACAAAGGTTCAATACAGTCTTCCTTCGACATACTGACAAATTCAACGAATTCAATATAGATCTCAACAACAGGTTCAACGCCTTACAAGATCCACTCGAAGAAGAGAATAATACTATGAAAGACAAGTGGAAAGGGATCAAAGATGCACTAACTTCAACGTGTCAGGAGGTTCTGGGCCGCAAGAAGCATCATCATAAGGAATGAATCTCTATGGAAACCCTGGACAAGGTTCAAGAAAGGAAGAACAGAAAGACAGCAATCAACAACAGTGGAACAAGAACAGAGAAAGCCAATGCACATGGTGAGAGGAGCATTAGAGCTGACAAACAGAAATACGTGGAAGACGAAGCAATGATAGCGGAAAAAGCTACAAGAGAGGGGAATGTGCAACAATTATGTGACACAACGAAGAAACTGGTAGGGAAATAGAGCGAAGTAGAGAGACCGGTGAAGGACGAAGAAGGCGAGCCAATCAGTCACTGATATTGAAGAACAGCGGGACAGATGGGTAAAGCACTTTGAAGAACTCTCGAATGGACCAGCTCCACTGAACCACGACCGGACATCGAAGCAACACACGCAGAGATATTCTCATAGATGTTATCGAACCAACAATCGAAGAAAACATCATGATCATCAGGCAAGTCAATAGTGGGGAAGCAGCAGAACCAGACAACATACCATCTGAAGCAGTAAGGTCAGACATAGAAGTGACTGCATGCATGCTCCATGTTCCATTCAGGAAGATTTAAGAGAAAGAACAAGTGACGACAAACTGGAATGAAGGATATCTCATTAAGATAACAAATAAACGAGATCCGAGCATTTGTGAGAACTACAAAGGCATCACACTACTATCTGTGACATGAAAAGTTTTCAACCAAGTTTTGTAGAACTGAATGAACGATTCAATGAACACCAAACTTCGAGATCAACAGACCGGATTCCGTAAGGATTAGTTGTGTACGGACCAAATGGCAACACTACTGATCATCGTTGAACAATCACTTGAATGGAAATCGTCACTAGACATCAACTTCTTTGATTATGAGCAAGCGTTTGAGTGTGGATAGGAGAACTTAGTGGAACCTTCTTCGACAGTGTGGTGTATCTGGGGAGATCGTCCACATCATAGGGAATTCATACGACGGACTACATTTGAAAGTGTTGCATGGAGGACAGCTGACAGAATCGTTCCGAGTGAGGACCGGAGTCATACAAAGCTGCCTGCTCCCACCCTTTCTCTGTCTTCTGTTGATTGACTGGATTACGAAGACCGCGACATCTGAGGGAAAGCATGGAGTACAATGAACAGCTTGCATGCAACTAGACGACTTGGAATTCGCAGATGACCTGGCCCTTCTATCCCATACACACCAACAAATACAGGTCAAGACAAACAGTGTAGCAGAAGCCTCTGCTTGAGTAGGCCTCAACATACACAGAGGAAAAAGCAATATTCTAAAATATAACACAGAGAGCACCATCTCGATCATACTTAATGGAGAAGCACTGGAAACTTTCGCGTACCTGTTCAGCTTTATCGATGAACAAGGCGGATCAGATGCAGACGTAAAGTTGAGTTTTGGCTCAACAAGGGCTACATTTCTACAACAGAAGAACATGTGGAACTCAAAACAACTGTCTGCAATCCAACATCAAATTCAGAATCTTCAATACGAACGTCATGAAAGTCATTTTTACTGTACGGAGCTGAAACTTGGAGAACTACTACAACCATTATCAATAATGTAAAAGTATTTATAAACAATTGTTCACTCAAGATGCTCAATGTCCGTTGGCAGGATACCATTAGCTACATCCTACTGTGGCTGTTTTATGAATAAAATACATCATTTTTATTTAGGATATGCGAACAGTTTGATAATCTTATACCAACCAATATTAATAAAGATAATCCTTGGAAAGTGCCTTAATTAACCTGCAGAGAGTCACGAGTAATATCAAGTCACGTGTGGGCCTTACAGAGGTGTGGATTATTATACCGGGATGAATATCAGAAAGATTTACACTTTTTGAATTACTTTTAAGATTATTATTTCTATCACTTTTTTATAGTTTTAGAATAGCTACATTATTGAATTTCTGTATCTGCCTTACTGTAAGCTTCCAGTGGACTTGATAACTATTGTTATGCGTTTTACTACTCCTTAATTATTTCTAATTAATCATGTACTGCTTGATTTCCTCTCTCTTATGGTATGATTATATTTAAAGAACAATTTCTCATCCAATGTGCTATGCTGTATAATACTTCGTGTGTATAACCTAATGATTGTTTAAGATTGATGGTATGCTGTCGCGCTTGCGTGATTGTAATATGGGAATTGTAGATGCCTAGCTGCTGACTTCTCTTCGGATGGGCAACCAATGGAAGCGTAGCTCACGTTAAATTGTACCGGACAGAACGCATCACTACTCAAGGCTAAGAACGCTAGACTATAGTTGGAATAGTAGACACGAAGTAGAACATTTAAAAGCGGTATTTTCTTTGAGAAACTTAGCACGTGATATTTATCGACGTCTCAGCGACATAACACGAAATAAAGAACAAAAGTGCTCATACAATCCTACTTTTGAATGCCTAAATGAGAAGTCGGATCCGACTTGCGATAACTTAAATGGCAGAAACTAATTTTAATTAGATTACACTTCACCGATTACAACTATTTAAAAAAGCTTTTGAATAATGGAGGATAATAATTCAATTCTATGATTGCATATATTGATTTTCAGGTCATGGTGAGTATCTGTAGTTCAGTCGGAGGATTTAGGTATTTTGCTCTTTTAGTTTCAATAAAACGAGAATCTATGAAGTCATCAGAATTTTAAAATTTCACTTCCTTTCGAAGTATGTGCTGATGCTGTTGTCTAGATAGACGATGAAAATTGCAGGACTTAACCATTGTGCCCATAGAACGCAACACCCTAAAAATATATTCATTCTGAGAAATGATTCATGTATCGTTGGAAATGGACAACTGGTTTATGATTTAATTAAAGTGTACTGTGCTTAGCTATAATTTAGGATAAGTTTTCCTACAATGTACTAGATATCTTACATTCTGGAAAACAGTAAGAATAGAAAAAATCTTCCAAGATACAAGTACAGAAAAAATCAGGTGAGTCAATGCATCGTCAACTGGTTTGTATTTCGCCTATTCTTTGTCAAATGATTACTATATCCAAATGACAAACCTGTTAACTGTTGATGAATGCAGAAAAGCGATGTCGTTGGTGGACGAATCAATAGATGTCATTTAGGATAAGGAATTATGATAGCGAAAAGTAACTGTGTTACCGTTAGGAATTCCACGTCTGTTACTAAAATGAAGAAACGTAGGAAAATGACTCAGTGGTAAGCTGTATTTTTCTTACTTGGAATATTATGGTTAAAATATCAGGTAGAGACAAACGGAGAACGTGGCACGAATACGGACTCACCGAAGTTCCGACATATCGTATCAAAACAGGGAAACAAAATTAAGAAACTGAGCTTTAAGGGTAATTGGACTCATTATGGAAGATTCAATATCAAATGCATTATCAATGACGGGCTACGGCCTATGTACTCAATATAATTAGATAAGACGGTTGGTTGGTAGTTGAGAGGTTTGTGGTTGACAATTTCACATGAGTATTAGTAATTTCCTAGACCATCATTATCTATCATAATTTACGTAGTGTTGGATATACTCTAGTACTCTTAGTGACTTGAGCGTAACCTGTATATTACGTCAACCCGGAATGAAAATTGCTCTTGGGAAAAATTTATCCCAGGAAGGCCAAACACCGACGAGTAACAAAATTTTTACACGAAACGAAAATAGAAACCTTCACAGCTTGCATTTGAGATTGATAGGTTTCATATTTTGATGATCCAGTAGGGCTATTTTGTGTCAAGTCTTAAAACGGCCAAATAACTGGTCTCATTAGTTCTAAACATCATAGTCGACTCCGAGGATCCAGATACAAAAACGTCGAGGTCAATAATTTCTTATACGGTAAACAAGAAAACTAGACCAAAGAGGAATTACGACTAAACGACCAAGCCTTTACTCATCTTAATGGATTTTAGAAGCATGCACGGAGCTGAAACAAAACAGCCAGGAGTTTGTACACTGATCGCTCTTAGCGATAACCAAGGCACTCATGAGTAAACATTAGTGACCAGTAATGCTGGCCAAACGCTTGGACGACCAAAAATAGTTGAGTAACAGCAGAAGCCAGTCATATGCAATGTAGAGCCTCGAACAAATTGTGCATCAGCTTAAGTCACTATCATATATCAGAAGTTCACCGAACATGTCAATAAAGACAAGTAAGCTAAGAATATTTGCTAAGTGATACTTGCAGAGAACCACTCCTATAGTCTAATAACTACTTTGAAGCCACATAAGTAATTGAAGAGATTGATCAGCTGATGAGATCGCAAGCCTGAATATTGTAGGATGGTTAGGACTCATGCTACTTACCTCAGCTAACTTCTAACTAGAGATTGACTAGTTTTGGTGAAATTTATTGTCTTTAAACAACATTTCTGATACGCGGAGACTAGCAGGCAACGATATTATGTTTCATTACAAATAAAAAGTCCAGGAAATTATCTGGAAAGTATATTGCGTACAATTATTTTAATATGACGCACACATGCAGGAAAATGATTAATCAATGACTTGATTTGACAAAAAATAAAATGTTATTTTATAAATTTTCAGACATTTCTAAGTTGCGTGCGTGAAAAGAGGAAAGTAAAGAAGTACAACCATAGGTCCACTAAAAAAGACGACTACACACATACACATGTATTAAGTGATGCTTGCACAAAGTATTTAGACAATTATAGTTGAATAAAACGAATTTCAGCTGGAAGGTTATATCTATTAATATAAATGACAAGAATTTCTGTGATTAAGAGGGTAAGGAACGGAACATGACTAAATTGAAGTACATACGATGAAACTAAAAGAACTGAAAAAGTGTTTGTGATAAAGTCCCATCATTTGAATAATCAATTATATAAGTTAACCTAATCATCAAAGTGTGTGATACTTGGCACCATAACTATTGGCTTAGTTTCTGCATCTTCTAGTTTGACAACACGAAGTGTGTTTGTAGAACCGGAACCAGCTTTCCAACCAGTTACGATTATTACGAAGCACCCAGGCGAGAAAAATGAACGCTTTCTACCATAATCAATAGCATAACGAATTCTACGGTCCATATCTTCGTACCATTCTCCAGCTCGTGGTTCTGTAAAATACATGAAATAAAAAGTTAAAATCGGGTAAATTTACTGTCATTGCACACAATAAATTTAGTTGAATATTTGATAATTTAATAAAATGTTTCTGATTGTTTATATACAACTTACCACCATAATACAGAGGATGAACGCCACGATAAAGGTGAATTTGACGAGCAATATATTCATGACGTGTCACAGTGAGAATTGGGCAACGAGGTCTATGACGTGAGATTAGTTGGCATGAACTAACATATAAAAGAGAATTAATCAAAACGAATGTTAAATATACATAATGAAGATACATATATCGATATTGTATAGTAGCCTTTAAAGCATCAAAAAAGCAAGGTACATATAAGTGCCTTCTTCATTTCGTTAATCATCCTAAATGATACACCTTACTTACGCCTGAAACTCCTCGTGAAGGAGGATAGGCCGATCACCGACAATCCATCCAACCCTGTCCTGGGCAGTCCTTTCTAGCTCCTTCCAGTTGTTATTCATTCTTTTCATATATGCTTCTATTTCCCGACGTAATGTGTTCTTAGGCCTTCCTCTTTTCCGCTTCCCTTCAGGATTCCAAGTCAGGGCTTGTCTCGTGATGCAGTTTGATGATTTGAGTAATGTATGTCCTGTCCATTTCCATCGTCTTTTCCTAATTTCCTCTTCAGCTGGAAGTTGCTTTGTTCTCTCCCACAGAAGGCTGTTGCTGATGGTATCCGGCCAATGGATGTTGAGTATCTTGCGAAGGCAGCTATTTATAAATACTTGTACTTTCTTGATTGTGGTTGTTGTAGTTCTCCAAGTTTCAGCTCCGTACAGTAGAACTGATTGTTTTGACGTTCGTATTGAAGATTGTGACTTTGATATTGGTTGACAGACAGTTGTTTTGAGTTCCATATGTTCTTCAATTGTAGAAATGCGGCCCTCGCTTTGCCGATCCTCGCCTTTACGTCTGCATCTGAACCTCCTTGTTCATCGATGATGCTTCGCAGGTATGTGAAGGATTCTACATCTTCCAGAGTTTCGCCATCAAGAGTGATTGGACTGCTGTTCTCCGTTTTGAATTTGAGGACCTTGGTTTTCTCTTTGTATATGTTGAGGCCTACTGATGCAGAGACTGCTACTACACTGGCTGTCTTTATCTGCATTTGTTCGTGTGTATTGGATACGAGGGCTAGGTCATCTGCGATGTCCAAATCGTCTAATTGGTTCTGAGCTGTCCATTGTATTTCGTATTTTCCCTTAGATGTCGAGGTTTTCATAATCTAGTCAACCATCAGAAGAGGAGAGGGAAGGGAGAGAGTATACAGCCTTGTTTGACTCTGGTCCTTACTTGGAATGCATCTGTCAGCTGCCATCTATGCACGACTTTGCACTGTAGTCCGTCGTATGAGTTCCGGATAATGTTGACAATCTTCTCAGGAACTCCATAGTGTCGAAGTAGTTTCCATAACGTCCTCCTATCTACAAATGATACAACACTCGATGAAAACAATTATCATAGGTTTTCTAATTAACAATCAACCAGCAGATTAGGTAACGCGAACAATTAATTACATGTATTTCACAAATAAATCCTATCTTTTATGTAGACTATATTTTCCCAATGAACACACTCGTTATTTTAAATAATTAACTTTTATTGTCGCAGGACATTTAAACGTGGTCCTGAAAATGTCAACATTTGTTAAGATTTCTAAGTCCTTGAAATTGTCGAAGAATGATTTTGACATATAAGAATATTTAATGTTTATTTTAATCTCAACCATGCGAGTTTTATTGGTTCATCATTTTTGTGACCAAATATTCACATTTATTGTTGTATATTCTTTGGCTTCACACATTTCGCGATGTCCTCTCTTCAAGTTGGTTATTTAGATGTTTCAAGTTTTAACAACTAATTCCATTTAGTTTGTTTGTTGGTTTTTTTCCATCGAATTATTTGTTGAACGTCTACTATTAAAGACATAAATTTCATGCAGCTTGATGAAGCTCAGTGCTTTTAATATATTAAAGTATTAACGAGTATTTCATTCACTGTCTTCTAAATAAATTAGAATAGCAGTATATTTTAGACCAGTTTTAATTTTAATAGGAACGAGAATGTGTGTAGTCATTGATTAATTTTATGTAAGATAAAAACATACATACTTACCGGCCAGATGTTGTAATCACAATGATAGCGGCAGCATTACAACGACTAGCAGCTTCTACTGCAGCAATTGCAGTGGTGTGAGCCATTTCAGTTGGACCATATAAAGAAGACTTCAAATCTTCAAACAATTGTCCATGAAACATTGCTGCCTCAGCCTGTACACATATACGGTGCATAGTTTGTACAGCCTCTAATGGATATAATCCTTTGGCCGTTTCTCCTGAATTATAAAATATAAAATAAGTTGAAAAATGAACAATTAATTTTGGTTGATTGATAATTAAAAACCTGATAATAACCTATGAATATTGCTGTGAATAGAAAAAAGGTAGATTATGATTGAAATTCATCTGCTCGTCAATTAAATGTTACTGCTTTTAGATGTGTAATTTATAATTTATGTAATCAGATTTCTGCTGTTTCTCAGACGTCACCACTTCTCTAGTATTGAGCTAAAATGATTAGATAGAAAAATCAAAATGGATGAAACAATTTTCTAGAAAACAAAACAAGAGATAGATAGATTGATTGATTAAATTTGGCAGGTAAAAATCTGATGAGGTGAGCAATGAGTTGAATAAATGTTTGTATTTTTAGTGAAACCCCTTGTTCAAATTTACCTCAAGCGGTTGACATTTAAAAAACTTTTTGGTGTAAAGGTTTAGCAGGCAGACTTTAGTGAAATGCAATTAATTTAATATCCATGGCTTAGTGGTTAAGATGTTCAACTTCAAACTACTAAGGCCCAGGTTTGAACTCAGTTCTAACTACTTTGGTTTCGACAACTAGGGTAAGTATCATTAGCTCTTACACGTAGATTGTGGTTAATACCCAAGTGCCTACCTGTCAAATGAGTTTTAACATTAAATGATGCGTAATTTGGACTGGAACTCTTGTTGATCAATGTATAATTTGATATTTAAATGCCCACTGACCAAATAGATATTTTATTCAATAGAAGTATTGCATGACTTTACGATATCAGCTGGAATATGAACAAGTATTTTCTATTTGTATGGTTTTTAAGAAAATTTAGCCCACCAGTGGACAAAACGGAGCTTGGTTTTAGTGTGTGAATCTGCAGGGACACAGAGTATCCAAGAATTTTGAGAAAAATAGTACGAAAACGTGTAATATTTGAAGTACATAGTTATGGTTTGATGAGTAGGTAACGGCGAAAATGTAAAATATTATGAAATCGAAACCAACCTGAAAGCATAACACAGTCTGCACCATCAAGTACGGCATTAGCAACGTCACTTGATTCAGCACGTGTTGGACGAGGCTTAGTAGTCATTGACTCCAACATTTGTGTGGCACATATCACAGGCTTCCCAACCTGATTACAGCGACCAATCATCATCTTTTGTGCTATGAAAACCTTTTCAGCAGGGATTTCTATTCCTAGATCACCACGAGCAACCATAATTCCATCAGCAGCATCAAGGATTTCATTAAATCTGAAAATGGAAAGGATATTTTAGTCAAGTTATTGGAAGGCAGAAAGGTGTAAAGACATTGTCAAGATCTCGATAACAAGTTGATAAATCGTTTCATCTGAGAGATAATCATAAGATGGGATATGAAAAAGATTATTTGGAATCCTGTACAGTAATACTATTTTGTTGAAAAGACCAACTTTCCAAAACATAAGAACCAAGAGATACGATATATATGAATATGATGTCATCAAATCGAAAACGGGAAGAAAAGAAAAGAACCGCATAAGGATACCTTATAATGAATATACTTTAATAAATTTGTTTACACAAACAGATAATAGTATAGAGCAAAATACCACAATGGATAACTTATAAGCTATGAATTTCAGTTAATCTTCAGGTTTACAGCTTGAACTCAGAAAGCCACTAGTTCTAAAGAGCAAGACGTGCAAGATTAATAGGAAATGATGTTAAGTTGAAGAAGTTGATATCTAGTGATGATTTCCATTCAAGTGATTGTTCAACGATGATCAGTAGTGTTGCCATTTGGTCCGTACACAACTAATCCTTACGGAATCCGGTCTGTTGACCTCGAAGTTTGGTGTTCATTGAATCGTTCATTCAGTTCTACAAAACTTGGTTGAAAACTTTTCATGTCACAGATAGTAGTGTGATGCCTTTGTAGTTCTCACAAATGCTCGGATCTCGTTTATTTGTTATCTTAATGAGATATCCTTCATTCCAGTTTGTCGTCACTTGTTCTTTCTCTTAAATCTTCCTGAATGGAACATGGAGCATGCATGCAGTCACTTCTATGTCTGACCTTACTGCTTCAGATGGTATGTTGTCTGGTTCTGCTGCTTCCCCACTATTGACTTGCCTGATGATCATGATGTTTTCTTCGATTGTTGGTTCGATAACATCTATGAGAATATCTCTGCGTGTGTTGCTTCGATGTCCGGTCGTGGTTCAGTGGAGCTGGTCCATTCGAGAGTTCTTCAAAGTGCTTTACCCATCTGTCCCGCTGTTCTTCAATATCAGTGATTGATTGGCTCGCCTTCTTCGTCCTTCACCGGTCTCTCTACTTCGCTCTATTTCCCTACCAGTTTCTTCGTTGTGTCACATAATTGTTGCACATTCCCCTCTCTTGTAGCTTTTTCCGCTATCATTGCTTCGTCTTCCACGTATTTCTGTTTGTCAGCTCTAATGCTCCTCTCCACTTTCTTGTTTAATTTTAAGTATTCACCATGTGCATTGGCTTTCTCTGTTCTTGTTCCACTGTTGTTGATTGCTGTCTTTCTGTTCTTCCTTTCTTGAACCTTGTCCAGGGTTTCCATAGAGATTCATTCCTTATGATGATGCTTCTTGCGGCCCAGAACCTCCTGACACGTTGAAGTTAGTGCATCTTTGATCCCTTTCCACTTGTCTTTCATAGTATTATTCTCTTCTTCGAGTGGATCTTGTAAGGCGTTGAACCTGTTGTTGAGATCTATATTGAATTCGTTGAATTTGTCAGTATGTCGAAGGAAGACTGTATCGAACCTTTGTAATGCTGTTTGTCCAGTTGTCCATTGCTTCGTTAGCTCAAGTTTCATCTTGGCAATCACCAGATAGATGGTGATCTGAAGCTTTTATGATATTGAATCCGTGAGATTCCTATCGTATAAGTACACTTGGTGCTTCTTCGGACAGCATCAGAGCAACTCCTTTAATGTGTGGAACATTTTCTTCTGCGTGATCGGAGTACAGCAACATCTCTCCTGTACCCGACCTTTGCTGTTCAGCTAGGATACAATGAGTTTCACGGATTCCGAGAACCGTCAAGCTGTATGTTCTCATTTCTGCATCTATTTGACTTGTCTTTCCGGCCTCCCATATAGTCTGGACACTTTATGTATCCATAAGAACTGTTGCGAATGTCTGGCACTTTAACCGGGTTGGTGGACATGGAGAGTCCACCTAGGGAAGTTGGAAAACCCTTATTCCAAACCAATGGTGTACATGGGCTTCATTATGCTGAAGGAACAAATGGCCTATGAACCAATCGTTGGTCACCGGCTACCACGGGACTGCATCTCCTTACGATGCTCCACTTCCTTGTGGATCAGACCTTCAGGCTGAGGCTCCGAGTGTGGCCGCCTAAGAAAACTATCTGCTTCGGTTTGGGCACCCGAGCAGTATCACAACCCTCACACATATCAAATGAGATCTGTGTGGCGCATATTTGTATTTGGTGCCTCCTTGTACCAATATCTATGTGTTAAAATAATAAAGTAAATACTTTTATCTTCTGGATGATGACTTTTGTAGTTCTGCAAGTTTCCGCCCCCATACAGTAAAACTGTCTCCACATTTGTATTGAAAATTCTGACCTTGGTGTTGGTTGACAGATGTTTTGAGTTTCAGATGTTCTTTAACCGTAGATATGCTGCTCTCACTTTGCAGATCCGCGCCTTTACATCTGTATCAGCTCTACTGTGTTAATCAATGATACAACCCAGATATGTAAAGGTTTGTACATCTTCCAAGGCTTCGTCAAGTGGGATCTGGTATATGTTGTGTTGTATCGGAGAATCTTGCTTTTCTATTTGTGTATGTTGAGACTTACTGCTGCTACACTGGACTAGAACCGTACAATTGTATTTATAAATATTTTGCTCATAACTGTTTGCAAGAAAATAAGACGTTGTAACAAACACATCTCAATGTCAAAAATGGATAGCTGCCATTTAAATCTTTTCTCGATATCTTATTTTATAAGCTGTTTTTGATACTTGTTCATCTCCTCTTCCACCATTATGTAGTGTTTGAAAATTTTTGGATTAACGTTTGGTGCATTTGTCAATGATGTAATAGTTCCCCATTTTATTATGAACCATTGTGTTTGAAATATCTATAAATACTATTGTACAGTCATATTAAATGATAATAACGGAAAGAAAACATCTGAATTATGTCCACTTTGCTTAATAAAACAAATGATTGGATAATTACAGTAATCGGTACTTTTTTGTATAAAACTATCTATATCAAACAGATTAAGTGTTCAGTGTTAAAAATAAAAAATAATAATAATGTGAATAGATTCCTGGAGAAATTCATGATTATTATTCAAAAAGTTTATCTGGATAATAAAATAATCTCACCATATTACTAGGAGTTATATTATTATCCAATGCGTTTGTGTTTTATTATCTAGGTGATAAAGTATTCGCTTTTTATTTATTTTCCTAAAAATTGTTTAATTATAGTATGCAATCTGGCTATGTATAGACTAATATATTTGCATGTTCGAAACTATTTGTTTTACTGTGATGAAAGGTTTTTGACAAAATTTTCATTAATGGACCACATGATATAATGAAAACTAATGGAAGTAGATAGATTTAAGATATGATGTTCTGATTATGTAGTCATTTCACTACTGTGTAACTCAATAATCTTCTTTTATTAACATATTGTAATAGGAGTTTAGATGGAGTAACGAAATGATGACATCCGTTTTAACGTTGTTTTAAATTAGCACTTTATCAGAAACTTAGCAGAAGCAAATCCTAGCAGTGGAATTATGTTACATCAAGTTTCTTAGATCAATACAATCACATGGCTATAATTACGATAGTTTTATAATTCAATACTAAAATTTTTCCTATCCTAAAAGCATCGAACAATTAACTCATATAGTACAATCAAATGGTACTCTAACAGTAACATCAAAACATCTACATTATGTATATTCTGTATCCCTCAAATAGTTGAGTAATATCTACACTAAATAATTCTCTATAATGGTTTGGGTGGTAAATTGTAATCTATATTTGATTGCCGTACCGTATGTGAGTTTAGATGCTTTTGGAACGGTTTTCATTTATTATATATATTTGTGCACAATAAGACTGAGGAACTTACCGTTGGACGCCTTCATGATTTTCGATTTTAGCGATGATTTTAATGTGGGAACCATTATCACCGAGAAGTTGACGGATCTGGTGTACAGCATCAGCATTCCGAATGAAAGAGGCAAACACCATGTCAACCTTGAAAAGGTTTAATCGGCAATTTATGAAATGACAAAACAGAGAAGACAGAATTTATAAGTTGTATGTAGTAACTTGTCATATGTAATATAATATTAACGTTTTTGAGAAACTATATATCACCTAACTAACTTTTAAGTGATTCTTTTATGAAGCGTATTTGTGCAATATTAGGATACAGAACAAGTTACGTTATTAAAAAACAATATGCAGGACAGGAATGTTTGTACTTCGGCATCACATTCAAATCAAATTTACTGAAAAAAGCAGTGTACATTTGATAATCTATGTAGAACTAACAGTAAGATTAGTTTGTTAACGAAAAATTAAAACATTATACGATTGAAAAGATGAATACGCAGTTAATATTGAGTAAGAACCTACGTTATGCTCAACTGCAAAACGAAGATCTTGTTTGTCTTTTTCTGATACTGCCTCTAAATCGACATGGGCTCCTGGGAGATTAACTCCTTTACGAGACCCTAGCTTTCCACCATTTTCAACTTCGCATTCAAGGTAATCAGGACCTGATATTAAAGGAAAAAATTTACAGGCACAAATCATATTATGTACGGATATTTTACAAATTCTTTTTTCGAGTAGTTCTCTTACTGCACAACGTACACTTAAGTGGAAGCAGAGAATATGTTTGATATTTACCTATGATAGTTATGCCATTGTAAATCCGTTTACAATCTCGTCTGTGAACTTGCTTAAATACTTCGGTTAAGATATGGTATGCGTCGAAAGAGCTTAAATAATAACAAAAAACGTCCTGCTGGGAAACTGTGGAATGAAGCACGGGTTGATATGAGTTTGTTTTGGGGAGATGATTGCTGACTAATTCACAGAGTTGAACAAAGGATATTCTGAATTATAATATTGGGTCGTTTGGTCGGGTGGTCATGGTATTTATTATATCATCAACTTTGATATTGACTATTGAAGGAACTAAGTTGTAGAATTTAATAAAAATTGGCTTTCAGTTCACTCAACGGTTATCATTAACCATCAAAACTAAGTTTTATATGTAAGTAATCATACGTACCTATGATTTTTAAGGCTAAATAACGAATTTAACGTTTGACTAGAAATAATACAAAATGAATCAACACAAAAAATATATGCGGAATCAACGGACACATTTGACATGAAGTGGAACCAGAAGATCACTTGCCTTTATCCAAAACCACTAAGCTTATTAAACCATCATCAACGAAAATCTTTGATCCTTTAGACAAAACATGTACAATATTTCGGTAATCCATATACAGAATAGACTCATTACACGCTTCCATGTATGCGCAATCAGTGGTTACACGGATTTTATGACCAACTTGAAGATTGACTTCAGCGGTCCCACTCTACAAGAGAGAATGCAAAAATATGTTAAGTACTTACTATAGTGTATAACAAAAAGATATACGTGCAGCAAAAAGGTGGTTAACAATCATTTTAATTTCAAGTGGACTCAGCAACCTTGATAAATAGTTAACATTTGAGTTACCTAAATAATTCGATTACGTCATACCTCTCGATATGCTCTGTATTTTCTTTACATGGAAGGAAATGAATTAGTCTTACGAGATAGTGCTGGAAACAATACTTACATACTGACTTTAAATAATGTTCATTAATAAAGAAGAAAGAAAAATCATCTCAAGTGTTTATGACTATATGTAATAACAGTCAAATAATTTCACGTACAACTGTGAGTTTTGCTCATAACTCTAATTGTTTTCATACGTTTTCCTAATAACATTGAATGACGGTAACGAACCCGGTTGTAGATACTTGAGTAAATGGACAACAGAAACTGTTAGAAATAAATAGAAGCGTAATGCCTATCGTGTAACACTTAAATTTTTGAGTAAGTAGAAGATTTGAACAGTTGGAAAGAGATAAAGCGATATTTCACAATTGTGATCAACATTAACCTTACCCCGTTAATAAGGCCAGTACGAATTTCAGGCCCCTTGGTGTCCAAAGCAATCCCTATTGGTCGAGGGAACGGTTTTAAAGTTGCGGCAGCCTCTCGGACCAACTCAATGGTTTTCGCATGATATTCGTGACTGCCGTGAGAAAAATTCAGACGGGCAATATTCATTCCAGATGTCATCATATTCTGTAGTATCTCGACAGTGCGACAAGCAGGACCTAGTTTACAAAATAAGCAGAAAAGTAAAGTCAAATATCTTTAAAATCAAATGTACACATAAACTCTTTTTGTCAGTCTTATAGAATTAGTGAGTAACAATAACGCCTGAACTAACATACAGGAGGAAAAGAAATCATCCTGAAAAATTCACATCGTTGCACGAAATTCAACAACTGATGAATAATGGTACTCTGTCGATAGTTATGCTTATTTTCGTTATGTTTGAAGTCAATTAAATAAATAACAGGCGTTCATCCAAATTACTGAACTTTAATTGTTTGTATAATTTTAAAGATTAAAACTTGATACGTTTCATTTACCATAACAGTGTACTCAGTTTTATGAATTGCACGATAACCACAGACAGAATAGTCGATTTTACGCACCAGCTCGTTGTCGTTGCCCGAAGCAACAAACCTCACTGACTACCTGAAAAAACGATTACTTTCCAGTATGTATACAAATAGTTAAAAATAGTTTGGCAGTTTAGTTTTTACACTTAGTATTCAAGGTGAGGGTTAATGGAGCCCTCTCCTCGTCGGTACCTGTAAAAAGTGGAGTTCCCCAAGGTACAATCTTCGGTTCTCTTCTCTTTTTACTTATGTCAATGAATTACCAACTGTAGCAAAACTATCCGTTCTACTCTTCGCTGACGACATAAAAATCTGGAGACCCATACACAGTATGTCGGATAGAATATTATTACAGGATGGTCTTAGCTCATTGGTGGAATGGTTGGACAGGTGTTCACTAGAAGTAAATCCTAATAAGAGTGCGGTGATATAATTAAATAACTATGATGAATCGTATCACCATACAATATGTGGATTCGTGCTACCCAAAGTAAGACACTATAAAGATTTAGGAGTCAAATTAAGCAGTGATCTCAAAACCACTAGTCACTGTAAGGCTGCTGCTGCGAAAGGCTATAGGGTATTATGGTCTATTCGTAGGTCTCTCCAGTATTTAGACGATGAATTGTTTAGATTATTATACCCGATTTATGTGCGACCATATTTAGAATATAGGATTCAAGCAGCGAGTCGTTGTTTTAATTATGAAGCAGATATGCTGGAAAGAGTCCAACGACGAGGTACCAAGATGGCTAAAGGTCTATCTGGCCTATCCTATGAAGACAGACTGAGACACCGTTATCTTACCGTAGAATACAGTGACCTAATGTTGGCTTGTCGTATACTGAACGATAACTTTGGTATTACCATGTCTTATCTTTTACTTCCGTCTAGGACTGATCATTTGAGAGGACATTCGGAGAAAGTTCAAAAACCGAGATCAAATCGTTTACGTCTGGAGTTTCGCTTCTCGCACTGAGTAGTGAATGACTGGAATTCTCTACCGGAACACGTAATATCAGCACCTTCAGTTGATATATTCAAAACGAGATTGGACCTCCACAGTATTACAAACTGAAGGGACTAATATAGGTCCATAGACCTCCTATTCTTAATACTGAAGACTGAGATTTAATGGAGATAAAGGACGTGTGATCTAGTACAACATATCGTCCTAAGATGCCACATTTTGCACTTGTTTATCCAGAGAAAATTAAAATAGTCGAGGAAACGTGGTGTAGATGGATTCAGAGAGAAATGTTTAGTATATTCATAATCGCTAAGCAGATGGGTACCATCCATAAACTTCACATTGTGTAGTGAACCTTGGACGTAGTTTGCTGAACAGCAGTAACCTGTTCATAGAAAACTGAAAAAGCGATTGTGGAATGGTACGACTCAAAAGCGTCCTGATGAACTTGCCCAAGCGTAATATGATGGTGGGTATCGCATCTAATTTAACAAAACGGAACCGATTGGCTGGTTTAAACTACTAAGATTGTCTCTACTCAACCTAGTAAAATAGAACTATGAAATGAAACTTGAAATCAGAAGAATACAGAAACACTTGTGAACCTACAATCTAGTTACTTTTCTGATGATCGACAATATTTATATTACAGGAGGACAAAAAGAACTGAACAGCGTTGACCCTAACTATGGACGCAACGCGGTTATTAAGGGAAATATTTATAGATATACACTAACTGTATACTTAACGACCAGACTATTTAGGAGTGAATAACTTCATACTTTAAACACAAGTTCACTTATTACTCACAGAGCTGTTTACGAAACAAATTTCCCTTCAAGAAATATTACAGAGAGACTTTCGCAGTAGCTTACCGATGGTGCATATTATACCAGTATTTCGGACATATGCGGGTTGATGGTCGATATCAAGGCTAACAACATGTTCCAATAACGAACGTGGATATACAGAAAGTGGTGGGTTCTGGTGATACGGAGAGGCCTCACCAAACCTTGAGACCGAAGAAACCGCATGAAATGACTGACTGCCAGTAGATCTAAAATTGAGAGACACTACACTCATTTTTAGCCACAACTTACAAGTTTGAACCTAGCATCACGTAGATAAAGGCCGGGATTCGTAAATACTCCGTAAAGCAAGTGCGAACACAAATCTCAATTGGCTAATTTAAAGATATATTGAATATTCATTATATATGAAATCAATCAATAACGTAAACATAAAAGTCCCTGTTTCACAATGATATCAAGAATTATCGGCTTAAAGCGATATAGACATGTAGCCAAACCTTCAGTTTCATTATGGAAAGGACAGGAGGCTGGGTAGCCTGTGTTATTCCTGGCAGTGGTGGTCTCTTCGTTGATCCAAATTCCCTTAGAAAGCGTTGACAGATGGAGCTTCAGTCATGGGCTGAGGCAATGAATTCCGTTCATTGATGATGCATTGGGAAAGTCGATTGTCAGCTGACAAGTAGTTTGTTCTGGGCTTGTTATCTTAGACAAGGAAAATGAGGGAATATCAGATGCAAATCTATCAACTCTGGTTCTTCTGAATGACAATGGCAATATATTTAATTTGACCAGTCGAACATTATACGGAAGCTTAGCTATCGCTGGAATCAGCTTAGTTGCAGTCGTTTGAACGTTTCCCATCAACTCACTGTCTGTTTTTAGACAGGGGCTAGCTGCTTGTATGTGTAGCGGTAAACAAATCCCCGAAATAAATAGCTCTGTAATTTTTCGACATTGGATGCTGACCAGATTAGTTTTAGTGGACTCATCAAGCTGAAGGCGCTCGGTCATGCATCCACACCAGATCACGTGTGGGAACGCAACTGCAACTGCTAGCCAGACTAGATCAGACAATTCCGATATATTGGCAGTCGTCAAATACAACTTCTGATCTCCTCGATTCTGTCTTTTGATTTCTATTGGTGGGTACGAGTTATAATAGAAGGTGTTACTGGTAAAAGCGTTGTCAAACACTGAATACCTGTGCCATCTTCATTGTTGAGCCTAACGTGAACTGGTACACCAAATCGTAAACCGAGTCCGTTCCTTTTTGGGATTTTTGTATATTATTGCCTTATTTTTTATTTTTTTATACATTGTGATATTTTTTCTCGCGTTTTTGGATATCTACATATTTTTCACTCGTGTATTCTCGTACTTAATATTCCCCAATGACCGAACAGACTCCTAAGGTATTTAAGATTAAGACCATGTCTCCAACCTCGTTCCAACTCATGCTCATCTGGCCCGACAACGTCGAGGCCTGGTCCTGCTACACAGAAGTCGACTTCCACGGGCACGGCGTGAACGACACACGTGCACAATTCTTCGCAGTAGTCAAGGCACTACCGCGGGAATTCAACAGGTACGTAACACCTAGTATGTTTACTAGTGATGTTTCTGAACCTTACGAAACCTTAAAACGTTCGATTCTTAAACGAGGAGACCTAACCGATCGACAAAGGTTAGACTAATTTTTTAATAACACAGACCTGCAACACGGTTCTGCGACGGACATGCTGCAAAGGATGAGAGAGGTTATAGGACTAAGAACTTTAGACGAAGGCCTATTCAAACAACTTTTCCTGTCCAAACTCCCCCAACAGGTGCAAGCTGTTCCGGTCTCGTTTCAGAACAACGCCTTAGACGAGATGGATGCATCTGCCGATCGTATATTAGAAATTACGAAATCTACTACGGAGGTTTTTTCAGTCAAAGAAAAGCCTCAAACGACTCAGAATGACATAACCGAGTTATGTCATACACTTACGCGTTATCTTAATTTTCGTAACGACCGTGAGCGATCACACACCCCACGTAGAAGCACTTCACGTAAGCGATCTGTCTCTAGACCACGAGAGATGGATAACCCCGACTGGTGCTGGTATCATAACCAGTATGGAAAGTCTTCCAGAAATTGCAGAAAACCCTGCAATTTTTCCAACTCAAAACCGACTGACACGAAAAACAACTCGGGAAACTTCCAAGCCGGCACGCGTTAACGACAACCGTAGCCGGCGAGCATAGCCGTCTGTTATAAGTCACAGATGTGACAACGAGAGTTCGCTACCTCGTCGACACTAGCGCAGAAGTTAGCGTTCTCCCAGCGAATCCCAACGACCGAATTCACGAATTGGCTTTAAACTTTCAGGCGACAAACGGAAAACCTATCGCTACGTATGGCAAAAGGTACGTTTACTTTAACGTGGGTTTACGCAAACCCATTCACTTGATCTTAGTTGTTGCAGTTGTTTGTATGCCAATCATTGGTATGGACCTTCTACAACACCATAATCTGATCATCGACACTCGCAAACGGAGGCTAGTAGACGGAAACACTAATTTGTCCGTTTGCGTAACTTCTTTTACTGGTTGCAGAGTATCCCCAGTCACAGTTAAACATATGATAGACCCACTCTATCAACCACTACTCGATAAGTACCCTGGGATACAACAAACTCAATCGAAACTACCGTGTGTAACAGCAACGTTACACATCACATCACGACTACAAGACCACCTGTATTCTCTAAAGCACGACGACTAGCCCCCGAAAAGCTAAGGTTGACGAAAAACGAATTCGATCACATGATGGACTTAGTAATCATACGACCGTCAAATAGCTCATATGCATCTCCGTTGCACATGGTCCCTAAAAAGGACAGCAACGACTGGCGTCCAACTGGTGACTATCGGCGATTGAATGCAAAAACCATTCCCGACCGTTACCCGTTGCCTCACATTCACGATTTGACAGCTACCTTGAAAGGTACAACTGCCTTTTCGAAAATCGACTTAGTTAAAGCGTATAACTAAATTCCCATGACCACTGACGACATTCCGAAAACAGCTATCATAACTCCTTTCGGACTTGACGAATTTTTGCGAATGCCCTTCGGTCTAAGGAACGCTGCACAAACCCTCCAAAGGTTTATAGACGACGTTTTTGAGGTCTCAAATTCATACATGCGTATGTTGACGACTGTCTAATAGCAAGTCCGGACCGAGAATCGCATCCCCAGCATCTGGATCTTGTTTTCGATCGACTACAAAAACATGCATTACTGTAAACATTCAGAAATGCCGAATCGAAACTGACTCATTAGACTTCCTAGGACACACTATAGATGCTCAAGGCATCCGAACTCTTAGAACCAAAGTGGCGGCAATTCCGGATTACCCAGAACCTACCTTGATCACGCAATTACGAACGTTTGACGGCCTGGTAAGTTTCTATAGACGAATCATACCGAAATGCGCTTTACTCATGAAACCTCTTACCGACCAACTTCAAGGAAATGCGAAATCCATTGTTTTGGACGACACCACACGAAAAACATTCTCCACAATTAAGGAACTTATTGCGAAAGCAACAATGCTTGCACATCAGAACACTCAAGCACCCATTAGCATCGCAGTAGACGCATCCGACTCGGCAATCGGAGGAGTCCTTCAACAATGGGTTGACAACTCCTGGCAACCTTTGGCATTTTTCTCTAGACGGTTGCTAGACACCGAATCGAGGTACAGCACATTCGGTAGGGAACTCCTAGCTATGTATTGTGCTGTACGGCATTTTCAGCATCATATCGAAGTCCGCGAATTCACCCTCTTCACTGACCATAAACTGCTTACCTTTTCTTTAAGCTCTTCCTCTAACAAGTACTCACCTCGTGAGTCTCGACAACTGGACTACATTTCGCAGTTTACTTAAGATATTCAACACATTTCTGGAGCAAACAATGTTGTCGCAGACGCTTTGTCTCGCATATCTTCATTGAAAAATTTTCAAGGAATCAACCTTCTTAAACTCGCCGAGCTTCAAAAAGAAGACACTGATCTTCAGCTAGAGTTATCATCTACAACCCTCAAACTACGCATCAAACAGATGGGAACAGGTGAGGAAACCTTACTTTGTGACACATCAACAGGAAGGGATCGCTCAATCCTGCCGAAACATTATAGACGCAATGTCTTCAATACATTGCACAAACTTTCTCATCCAGGTGTTCGTGCAACCATCAAGCTTATAGCAGAACGGTTTTGCTGGCCTGGCCTGAATGAAGACGTGAGGGAGTGGGCACGCTCCTGTGTAAGCTGCCAAAAACCTAGGGTTATCAGATACAATAAATGTCCCTTAGGCTCATTTGAAACTCCCGATGCTAGTTTCGACCATGTTCATCTGGATTTGGTAGGACCTTTACCAGATTCAAATGGATACTCTTACCTCTTAACCTGCGTAGACCGTTTCACTCGAAGGCCAGAAGCAGTACCTATCAAGGACATCACTGCTGAAACAGTGGCTCGCACCTTCGTCGAACGATGGGTAGCAAACTTTGGCTGCCCTTCAACCATCACTACAGACCGCGGACGTCAGTTTGAATCCGATCTTTTCCGTCGTCTGACCACACTTTTAGGAATCACTCGCTTCCGAACGACCGCCTACCATCCACAAGCAAACGGGTTGGTAGAACGTTTTCACCGACAACTAAAAGCTTCAATATCAGCTGCAAACGTTTCACAGTGGACCGACGCTCTTCCACTCGTCTTACTAGGTATTCGCAATGCAGTGAAAGCTGACATTGGATACACTGCAGCTCAAATCGTTTGTGGAACGACACTCCGACTTCCAGGAGAATTCGTGGATCCTTTATTCTCTTCAATGAGCATGGATCTAACCTCCTACACGAACAGGCTTACAAACGTAATGCGTTCAGTTAAACTTGCTTTCACTCGACCACAATCCACCGATGTTTTCGTTCAACCTGACTTTCGATATAGTACACACGTTTTCGTTCGTCGAGACTCGCATCGACGACCATTCGAATCAGCATATGAGGGACCTTTCAAAGTTCTTCAACGTGAATCTAAGTACTATATAGTCGATAAGAACGGAACAAACAATAGCATCAGCATCGATCGCTTAAAAGCAGCGTATTTAGAAGGAACTCCAATTCACGTCGATTTCCCTTCGGTACAATCGCACAACACGACTCCTACGCTTATAATACCCCAACCGACAGACAACAAACACGATGATACTTCAGTAGTATCAGAAAATAAACTTAAGACGACTTTAAATGGACATTTCCTATTGGTCGATATCTGTTCACTTGTACAAAATGTTGTTTTCTATTTTTATGGTACGCTGT